TTAGAAGAGGTAGCTGAGTCAGTCTGTGCTAGCATACCAGGCCAAAAACAAAAGGAAAACACAATATGATTTTGTTTAGGCCAAAGGAAGAGAGAAAGAAAAATAATAATAATAAAAAAGGAATACCAAAATGTTGTGGCACCTTAAAGACAAACTGCTACATTTTAACGTTAGCTTTTGTGCACAACTCCACTTCCTCATGGTTGTCCATGGAAGCTCCCATTAAAATGTAGCCATTAGTCTTTTAAGGTGGCACAACATTTCTTGTTTTTTTTTTTTAATATTTGGTTTTTGGCCTTATAATACTTTTTAATAGGAAGAAAAACCTGATGTATATGGAATGAACTCTCCCCACTTTGTGGCGTTCCCCCCTCCCCCGCCTCTCCCTTAAATGATGGCAGCGCCTGTGCCCTGAGGGAAATTTTACCTCACAGAAAAAGCAGCTTAAGTGCCCCTGCTTCCTTAAATAGGCTGCTTCCTGTTCACTTGCTACGGCATGCCTCTTTTCGTCCTTGAGTTGACTTTCTAACAGTATGAAATGGACCTGAACGAACTGGGGTGTGTGTCTTTTCGTCCTTGAGTTGACTTTCTAACAGCATGAAATGGACCCGAACTGGGATGTGTGTGCGTTGATAAATATATGTGGGAGAAATAGATACGCCTCGTTTTGGGCCGTCCTGCCCCCCCTTGAGTGTGTCTCCCCAGGCATGTTTTAAGGGCTGCAAGGAGGTCACCTTCGTCTCTTGCAGAAAGACAAAGAGCTCACTCACGATGGAAAAGTTCAAAAAGCTTTGTAAGGAGTTTCTACCAGTTGGTAATTTCATTTATTACATTTTAACCCTGTCTTTCCCTGAAGGAGCTCTTGGCATGGTCTACCTCACCCATTTTAACTTCACAACGACCCTGTGAGGTTGTAAAGGGTGGGAGAGTCGCCAAGAGAACTCACTGAGCTTCAGGGCCAGCTTGGTGTGTGTGTGTTTTAACCACAGTCTTTTTTTGTTTCTGATTCAGAGGTTTCCCCCTTGCCTCCAGTTTTTAAAAAAAGCTGGATCACTTTGAACAGTGTTCAATCCCTATATGATTGTTTGTTTTGTTCTATAGAAGAACAGGAGAAATGGCTATGAGTGGTGTTATGTTGACATATTAAGCGGGGTGTGTGATATTTTTGGACAGCAGGAACACCCACCCTGCTGTCTTTCTCTCTAGTTGTCCGGAAGTATTTTATTTTTTTAAAAAACAAACCACTGAGTTAGCTCTAGATCACCTTTGTGTGTGCGCGTGAACAAGCACACACAATAAGAAAGGAGAGCTGGGGCTCACCAGGTGAAATGGTATCAAAGGAAGGGGGGCGCCTTGGCTGTGTGCGCATATCAAATCACATCAAGGTCAGGATCAATGTGGACACAGAAACAATCTGGGGTCCTTGTGTGACCACCAACTAATATTACGATAAAAGAGACTGCAGATCAAACCACCGTGTATTCACACCTTTACTGTAACAATGGCCATTAATTTGTAAAGTGCTATGTGTTGTTTTTCTTCAAGAAAATGGAAGTTACTCTGGGAGTATAGTAAACAAGCCAAGCTGCTTCACAAAATTTTAAAGGCATGGCTGGTCTTCAAAGCATACTGTAGTTCATTATGGGGAACTATTTTAAAAAGCAAGTTCTTCATGAATGATTGTCAGTAGGTTTTCCTCAGTTAATCAGTTCTGTTAACTTAAAGCTAGCCATAAGTGTGTGTCATTAGAAAAATCCCAAGAGCTATTGGCTATGTTTTGTTAGCATGCATCACCCACAGGTGGAGAAAAATACATTTTTGCATTTCCTAGTTTTGTATAAAGTAGGACTGCAGTATCCGTAAGGGAAGCGGTTCCAAGCCTCAACCCAACACACACACACACACACACACCGCAGGTGCTGGAAAAAGTATGATATACATTGCATGGTCTCTGGCTCCCTCTAGTCACCAGGTCTCATAAATACACTCTGGAAATACATATAAATATGTATTTCTGAGGATTTTTATTTAGTACTTTCAGGGAGTGGATATATGAATCAGTGGATATAGGAGTCCTGGTTTAGGGCAAAAAGATGCTGTTGGGACATCCTCCCACTGTACAAGCATAACCAGAGCTTATGAACTCATTGCTGACAAAATCCAACAAGAGATGGGTTTTTGGCCCCCCTTGAAAATGACTGGTTTTCATGATAAAGAGAGTCACAAAAGTAAAAAACTCATATAAGAGTAATGTGACAGTGACTTGGAGAGCAGTGGGGATGCAGGCGGATGCCATGCAAGTCATACGGTGAATTTGGCTCTTGGCAGTAAAAGAAAGAGGCAACTGCCTCCCTGTAACTTTAAAAACTGCAGAGACTTGGAATGTATGACCTTTATTAAGAACCTATAACTTATATATCATTTGTCTTCGGCAGGAAGGATGGAACCTCTGAACGCTTACTTCCTGGCAATTGGTTTTATTGTAATTGTTATGCAGCAAGGAATCCACACGGAGGAGTGCCTCTTTGAGAAGCTGGAGGATAAGGACAGCATGTTTTGCAGGTGGGCTTATATTCCTTGATGGTTACAGATCCCACCACCACCACAGCCTCTGCTGCTCAGCATTGTGGTAAACCAAATACTTTAGGCAAAAAGAGAGTTAAATTTAGTTTGAAATGGTGTACAAGGAAGTATGTCTTGATGGGACTGAACTCTGCACTTCCACCTCTCCTTCGGAGGTTGTTCACAGGGGAATAATGGGATGGAGAGCTATAAAAAGGAAGGAGAGGCCAGCCTGTAGAGGAGGAAGTGACATGGGAAGAAGAATATGTGTGTGAGAGAAAAAGATTACTGAGCAACACCTTGCATTGGGCTGTAAACCTGTGGCATCTTGGGGTTCCTACCTGCTTCGATCACAGTGACTTTCACCTGCCTTCGTTCTGTTGCAGTTTTGCATTTCTGATTCAAATTCCTTGTGCTACACAGCAGAAGTACAAAGACTCACAGAAGAGAATAGCTTCAAGTTCCCCAGAGGGGTTCCCCCTCCCCTTTTCTCATTAGCTGGCACTTAAGGTTTCAATAACTCACTCTGAGACATTTGTAAGAGAAATATTTAAAAATGTTTCATTACAGCAAGCAATGTTTAATAAACAAATAGACAGAAACATAGACAACTGACTTCCAGCACTCAGCAGAGAGGCGAGGCTTTCTTTGAATTTAGAGAGGCAGTAAGGAACAATTGCTAGTACTGGATAGATTTGACAGTCACACCAGCCCAGAAAGGTCCCTCCCAGTCACTCCAATCACAGTCAACATGCAAGGTTGTAAAGACTCCAACAAGTCCCACCCCAGAACCCAGGTCCCAGAGGCACAGCAAAGTCTAGGGATGCAGGGCGTTGGACTTCCCCAAAGAGGAATGTGCTGCTGCTCCCTCTGAGTTGCTGCCCTTGATACTGGCCCCCACCCAGTTATGTTGCTGGCAGAGGCAGTGCCAGTTTCAGTGGCTCTGTGAGTTGGTGAAGACTTCTGTGTTCAAGAGGCCCAGAGAAAAAGACACTTAAGCAGCTGTCATCCCATTAATCCCATTTTGTGGACACAGGGTGAAGGAAACCACCATGCCCAGACATGAGGGATTGTGGAAGAATGAGAGTCTTCCTGTGAAGACTGCTCAGAATGGGAGGGGCCCACTTTTAAATAGCTGAACAATCAAGTCCAGTCTTCTAGGCACATACGACAACCCACCAAGTTCTTATCACAATGCCTTCAATGCCCCCCTGCCCCTGGGGGGGTGTCAACCCACCAAGTTCTTATCACAATGCCTTTGAGGCCCTTCAATGCCCCCCTGCCCCTGGGGGTGTGTGCTGGGGACCCACACAATCACATAACCTTTGGCAGTCTTGGGTTGTACCATCTCCTCTCTCTTTAAGCTTGGCCTGCATAAAGAACAGCCTCTAATTTTGATTGTAGTGCAAAATTACTTTCCAGATCGACATAGTGCTTTTTAAAATTTATTAAATAGCACACTAAAGAGGAACAAAGAATGATGTGGAACAAATCGGAAAAAGGATGGACTAACTAACCTGAAATAAAAACAAGCATTAACGCAGTTTACTATCAAATTGTTAGGATGCTTCTTACACATAAACTAAAGAATGAAAACAAACTCTTAACCACTTGTTAATTATGTACAAGTGTGTAAGAGCAAGGCACTTCTCAGCTATTTTGCATTCAGAATTGATTCATTTTCAATATCAAAGTGTGAGGTAATTATTGTAACTGTCTTAAAAGTTGTGATAACAGAACTAAAGTGTGCCAACTTTATTTTGTATTGATTTACCCGATAAAAGCTTTCTTCTGCTGCAAGTTAAATAGACTTATAATGAACACTCTTCATGGAATACAGATATTCAGTTTACTCCCACTTTGCCATCTCTAATAGTTATTACCAGCTTCACTCCAGTATTTTGTTCCTTACAGAGGGAATCTAAAAGTTATTTATCCAGAACTGGGAGATGTTGGCTGCACTTATATTCCAAAGTGCAACCTGTACCGTAAACGAATCAGCAAGGAGTGGATCAGTCCTCGTGTCCAATATCAGCAGGCAGATGGGGTAAGAAGAACCAAATTATGTAATGTTGGCCAGATACTTGTGACAATAGTAGAAATGTTTTCAATATGCATCTGTTTTCATAATAAAACACAGAGGACTAAATCACATTGTTGGTCTCAGCTCGCATAGACCTAGCAAATAAGTGAATCTTGCATAAGTTTTGACTTTGGTAAGTCCCATTGATTTGGTGGACTTAATAGGGACCAATAATTAGATTTAGTCCAGAGTGTTTTCCCATACAGATTTTTTTCTTAATTGCATGCACCATCATATGAGCATATATGCAGACTTTGTAATTCACTACAGTTGTTTTATGACATATAAAGAAATAGAGATATATAGAATATGGATATAGGACTCCCGCTCTCTGTGTGATTTAATGTTGAAAATTAGTTTGCAGACCAGTTTTTATGTGCTCTTGTTGATACCACGGCAAAGTTTTCAGTGTGGTGTATCAAATACTACACAGGACAGAATTGAGGGGATCCCGGCTCAAGTCTCAACATCCCATGAATCGCAGCCACGGGCTTGAGACCAGAAAGAACAGCTTTTCACTCAGAGAAAGAAGAACAATGTTTAATGCATAATTTGCAATAGGATGGAAATAGATTGTGATTGAAATCAGAAGCATTATATTTTGAATCAGAAGCATTATATTCACTGCAGATGTGAATTTATAATTGCTTCAGCCTTTCTCCTTTTGTTTACTGGAGTGTGTTTCCTGAATGAAGGACCCCACAGTTTGCAGCAGCATCTAGTGGCTCCATAATTCATTGCATCTAAATGTACATTTTTCAAGATCTATCTTTTTCAGCCTGAGAAAGAGATTTCACTATCATGGCTCCTATAGGTCAAGGAAATTCATGAACCGGGGGAAAAATGGCATTGGTCTCGTTGATTTGCCACATTACCTGTCCACGTCAGTGGAACATGCATGGGACAGATTGCCCTAGAAAACTGTACTGACATTGTTGTATTTCAGTTGACAGACTATGGATGAGGAAGGGGGATGCTGGGGACTCAGGTCCGGAAGATGGACCTGCACCTGGTATTACTGAATGGTTTGAAGCAGAAAGTGTGGAAACTTGAGAGACCATCAGGTGGCGTCAGAGAGCTCCATATGTGTTTATTTTAAAGAAAAGCAGGTCTAGAGAAAGAAATTGTGTTTGGAAGAATGTTCAATAGCTTCCTTATGTGTTATTTTGTTTCTTCAAACTAGCTGTCTCTTCCATTTGCTTTTGTATTGCATGACTTTTGAAATATGGTTTCTCTAGCATGAAAAAGCTTGGCAAAAACATGCAAACTGAAATTAGGACACGGTAGTTAAGGTTGGGGTTAATCTGTCTTCATCACATTGTTGCTGTAAGTTGTTAGGACTTTGCTTCATTCAGGTGCCTGTAGCTAGCCCCTGAATACTTGTGTAAAATCTGTACCAGACTTCCTTTGAGGGCTTCAAGCTAGGGGACAGTACAGGAAAATGTTTTTTTGCATGTAACTGTCATGTGGCTATCACTGTTCATAACATAATCAAGAGTTTTGTGAACTGCTCAGAATTATTCCAAAAGTTTGTATTGCATAGCAGACTTAGGCTATAGGATAACTTTCCCCATACTCAGAATTCATGTGGTATAGAAATTGTTTATTGCATTTAGTTGGAAACCAGAAGCAAGATTACTTGTGGTCAGGAATGTCCTTTGTAAGAATAATATGTACTAGGAGTGTCTTGCCATTTTTGCCAAGAGGAGGAGGGATTTTTTTAAAAAAGTTTGCTGTAAAGGGTTTAAATGCATTACTAGCATAGGGATGGTGTATGTCCTACTCATGTTTCAGAGGAGGGAAAATATTTATGTTGTAAAGTGTTTTTGTGTATGGAGGGGTTGTCTCTTGTCTATTGTTTTCATTTATCCTCAGTGGTTTCTGATTGTGTAACAGATAAGAAGTCAGGTGAGCAATGATTTATAATCTATATCAAGTGGACCTGTCTCTTCAAATGTTTGCTGCTAGCTTCTGCTTGCTTTGGTGTAGTCAGCTAGCAGATGTAACAGAAATCACCAGAATACGTGCAGTGGTTTCTTCTGTGACAGGGTGGGAATGCATTACTATGTCACAGCAGGAAATTCATGTCTTGTCAGCTTTCTTATCTTGGGCAGTTTGAGTAATATGTGATAAAGGCAGTTCAATTCTGTGGTTAACCTCCCCCACCTCCTCTTTATTGTTCATATGCTGCTGTGAAGAACTCTTTAAAATTAACTGAAAATTTGATTATAAATCCTAGAATGGATTTTTCATTTGAGTAGAAATTAGATGGAATTGAAATAATTAGAGTTGCAAGCCATAGATTGAATGCTGCACAAATGATTCCTAAGAGAAAATGAAGACACAGCATAATGACAGAAATCTTTACTGGCATTTATTGTGCATCTCATTGTTACGTTTTGTTTGTATTCAACTGAACAACTGATACTGTTTCCTCTCTTTGGTCCAAACATACAAAAAAATAAGGAATGCATCCATATCTAACCTTAGCCCAATCTGATAAAATGCCATCTTGATTTGTTTGTGATATCCCTTGTTTGCATATATTAGATCCTCTGTATACTGATTAGAAAATGAAAAAGATTGTCCATGCATAGAGCAGATGCAGTAACTAGAAAAGAATTACCGATTTTTCAGCATCAGTATATTATCTATTGTAATACAAAATGTTTAATGGTGGTTTGGTCCTGAATGGGCAATTAAGATCTGCTAGCTTTACCTGAGACCTGCTATTTATTTATTTATGTGGAGAAATCCAATGGTTTCATTTTTAGACTCTCCTGAGGCAGGGCTAATTACAGGGACTGACAGGGGGTGTGCCTGAACTTTTGAATGTATTACTACACCAGTGCCAGAGATTCTGTACCAAGGAGCCCTGTGCCGACATCATATACTGTACTGCTTTCACAGAGATGGCATGACAATCATATTTAATCTCTGCATATTCCTTGAGGAGAGGGGAAAATGCAAGATAAGGAAAAATATACCGAAACCAAAATAAATAACAGAAAAATGGCAGACATCCTCCACAATCCTGGAAACTCAGCCAGTTCCCATCAGTCGATATTTGCATTGGCAACAATGGCCATAATACCCTGTCAAACACCCTGTTGTCACTACATGCAGAAAACAGCAAACTCACAAGTAGAGAGATAGGCACCAGATAAGGGAAGGACTGAAAGGAAGAATAGTATGGTTTTGAATGCTCAACCAACTCATTATGGCTCACAATGGTCCATGGTCCTTTTTATCATTCCCCCCATTCTTTAGTTTCCTGAGAGTCTAGTCCTGTTGGGTCACATCCTATAATCTCTCCCTTCGTTCCTGCCCCCCCACCCAGCTGCCTTACACATTGTAGGAGAAGCATCCATCCCACTTGATAATCCTGTTCTTTCAGAATCCAGGAGATCTGATTCAGCACAGAGAGAAATCACTACACCTCATCTCCTCAAACTTTGGTCCCCCCCCTTACCAGAATCCAGTGCTGCAGTTGGCTGGTGCCAATGGTCCTGAGCCTTGGACAGTTGCATAACCTGCCTGTGATAAAGTGTGCAAGAGTAGAGGACCACCTCCCCACCTTCACCCCCATGTTTGTTTGTTTCCTGGAGCTAGTTGGCTCAAAAGAACCTCATCTGGGACAGCCAGGGGCATCTAATCACTACTGTTGGTAGTATGGTAGACCTCCCTTATAAATGTCTTAGAACAGGATGCAGGATTGATCCTGAAAATGTGTGAAAGCATGCTGTAGAGAATGAGGACAGAAAGTATACAGAGTAGTAATCAACAGCTGATATATATAATTCCTGGATGTGTAATTTGAGAGGAGGCTAGACAAGCGTGAGCATTACCGCCTGGAAGCTCAGACAGTGCTCATACCTCAGCCCTCCACTTGGAAAGCAGAGCGACAGTGCCCTGCCAAGGGAGTATGTTTTTCCTTTCTGGGTGTTTGTGTTGAAGCAACAACAACAAGAACTGTGTAAGCACTGGCTGTTTTTGTTTGTTTCTGTGTTTTTGCTGCATTTATCCTGCAGTTATCTTGCAAGACAGAAAATTCTGCTTTGTGAAATTTAAGTTGCAATCTTTAGCTCTGTCATATGAATTACAGTCCTACTGTGGGAAGTTTTTGTGCTGATGGTGGGGTTGGGTTAATCCCTGTTCTCTTCAAATGCGAATAGAAGACCATTTCCCCCCTGATTTCTTTGACATCCATGTGGAAGAAATTCCTGTGCATGCTACTGGATCAGTCATGGCTGGTATAAATTTGGTGTAGGAGCGTGGTGTTCTGTATTCTTCTTTCCTGGACTGATCATATACTGTTCACGATTTCTCCGCACTTTAATAATTCTGTAGCACATCTAACTGAGTGGAATAGCTCCAGAATATTTAAGATGTTCTTGTAGTGTTTCTATCATACCAGTGGATTTTATGATATTCCAACTGTGGCAGAGTTTCTTCAGAATCCTGTGGACTCTCAACTGGAAGGTTTTGAGTAAACATTGGTCCTAGATTTTACTGTACATTTCTCTTAGTTCTTAATGCTTTCCATGAACACTTTCCAGCTTTGCTCTAATGTCCTTTGTGAACTTTATAAGGGCCTTATTTATAAAAATAATACTATTTAAACAGCACTTCAAAGAATTTGAGGAATATGACATATATTATTTTTAATTTATGTTGCATTATTTTATAAGGCTGCACTATTCTGAACAAAGGTATGTTGGTGAATTATGAGACATTGGGAAGAAGCAGAAGATGTATTAGAAATAAAAGACTGTAAACAGCAAACAGGTGAGCTTTATTACCTGTATACACTTACTGTATTGGAAAGAAAGACCACTAGAGGGCACCATTATCCTTGAAGTGTCATTAGGGAAATTCATGATGGAGATGAAATTTTCCTCAGCTGCTTGAGTTAACTCTGCTGTGGAATTTTTCCCACTTGCAAGTGGGCAGAATTTATCGAC